ATGTGTGGAGAGTGGTTTGAGGGTGATAGTAGACATAGGGAAATTGGCTAGAGTTTGATATATAAGCTAGGTTATCAGATCCCAGCTATTATCCTTAATGTATTTCCTGGTCTTAACTCCTTTCTTCTCAGACCAAAGTAGCTCACTCTGGAGGCGCTGTTTGCCTAGTCTACCTCAGGCAGTCCATTGGCTGCATGATAGGAGCAGAATTACACAGTTCTCCTGGTCCATGGGGACCCACATCTAGCCCATGTTAGGCAGAAGGTGCAGCCACCTCCATCTTACACAGTGCATTAGATAGCAAGAGGCCCTTGGAAAACGCTTGGTCACCTTTCCTGGGTTTTAATTCCAGGTCTGCTGTGTCCTAACTATGGGGACATTGGGGAAGTTACTGAGGTTTAGTAACTTTCAAACATCGCCTATAAAATGGAGATGATACTGACTCTAATGCTTTTCTGAGAATTGAAGTAGTTGCTAATGACAATAATCACGAACATGTAGTAAGATGATGCCAGGCTGGTCCAGGTACATTTATTCACTGATTAAACCATGTGTAAAACACTGAAGAACAGTGTTTTGTTCCTGGTAGGCACTCATTAAGTATTCATTTCCTCCTATGTCCCGATCATTGCGCTTCCTACAGTTTATCAGTAGCTGATAGATCATTGCCTTAGCACTGTCTTCCAGGATTTTATTTATTCCCACAAATTGACAGAGAATATAATGAAGATTTAATTTATGCTCAGAAGCGGCCTGAGCTCATTTCCAACATCATTTCATTAAGGAAATACTTGGGACTTAGAAATCAACTATACTTTAACAAAATTATAATTTAATATAATTAGCACTCTAACTCAATTTTTAGTTCCAGGTCTTGGGCTGCTACAACAACCAGACAGAGCTGTTGGCTGGAAGACGACATTGCTCATGTGCTATTTTAGTTAGTGCCCATCTTCTGATCAAATAATCAGAATAAACATCTGAATACAAGTTCTGTTTGATGGACAATATGGCACGTATAAGGTTTTCTGAGGGTTGGGATGAGTTACACACCTGACAGGTTTTGGATGACGCTGGGGCGTTGCTTTTCCTAAAAGTTAATGAGAGGGACCAGCAGTTAGCGTAATGGCTATGTTGCTGGACTCCCACATAGTCGACCACGGTCCGAGTCCCGGACCTGGTGGCTTAAACTCACGCCAGGCATGTGTGCGTACGTGCCCAAGATCTCGAGAGGAGAATGGAGGAGAAGGGATTGCGGTGTGGCCATCCCCCCTGGGGGATGACTTCTCGCTTTCTGTCTCTCTGTCTCTCTCTGACTGTCTGGCAAGAGTACACACCCTATAGCAAAAAACTCTCCAAAAAAAAAAAAAAAGTTAATGAGAAGTGCCTCTTCAGTCTTCAGTAATGCTGCTCACTGTAGACTGTGTTTTTCCTTTGTGTAGGTTTTAGGTAACCAGATCCTCTTTGACATATAAAGGACAGATTAAAACTAACTCTGTAGCAATCCTAGGATTATGGGCTCAGGAGAATAAATCTTGGGTTGACTGTGAGATGATTTCACTTAAGTCTCATTTTGAAGAAAGCTGCTATGTGAGAGGCAGCTCTGAGCTTGGCTTACTGTTTATTCCTGGTTCCTCAAGATCCGTTCATACGAGTGCCATAGTCCACTGTGCACAGGATAGCCTTTACCTGAGAGGTATGTGGGTTGTGACAACAGGGATTACACCCCAAAACTGCCTGAGGTTCTGAGCCCAGTTTTTATTCCTGATCAACAGAGTAAAACTCAAGGAAATTAGGAGTCATAGTCACCGAAACACTCATCTGCTTGTCTGTGTCTGCAGTCACCACTTCAGTGAAAGGACAGCTGATTCTTAGCGATTAGCATAAAGCTGGAAACATGCTCCATGTTCGACTGTCTTATACTACCTTTCTCCTTCTTTTTAAAATTCTTCTCTTTCTCTGGAAATATAGATTGCCCACCATAGCCCAACCTCAAATGCTGCCCTAGAGGGTATAGGTAGGGGTTAAGATTAATATGCAAGCCTTACCTTATTTCCACCTCTCATTTTCCAGCAACAGCTGCAGGCCTACGTGGCCTGGGTGAACGCACAGCTGAAGAAGAGACCAGCGGTGAAGCCTGTGCAGGACCTGCGACAGGATCTCCGGGATGGGGTGGTCCTGGCGTATCTCATCGAGATTGTTGGTCAGTCAGCCCTGGATTCTGATGCATAGACCAGAACATGGCCTTCTTTAGGCTCCATATGCCTTTCAGAGCAGGTTGTTTCTTCTTTAAAATATATGGAAATGGAAGCAGAGAAGACTTAAAATACTTGCCCAAAGTTAGTTCATTTATTTATTGGTCCGTTTGTACTGTGTGCCAGGCACTGTACTATGCTTTGGGAATATAATGACGAGCATAGTCTAAGCTCTCAAGAGCCTCTCAATCCATCTGGAAGATTAGAAAGTGAAGTCAGGGGAAGCAGCAGTTAGCGTAATGGCTACGTCACTGGACTCCCACGTAGTCGACGGCGGTTCGCGTCCTGGACCTGGTGGCTTAAAACTCATGCCGGGTGCGTGTGCATGCATGCCCAAGATCCCAAGAGGAGAATGGAGGAGAAGGGATTGCGCCGTGACCATCTCCTCTGGGGGGTAATTTCTCGCTTTCTGTCTCTCTGTCTCTTTCTGTCTGTCTGGCGAGCACACGCGCCCTAGTCATTCTGGCAAGCGCACGCACCCTACAGCAAAAACCTCTCAAAAAAAAAAAAAAAAAAAGAAAGAAAGTGAGGTCAGTTCCATTAATATAGTTAGTATGTGGTGGTGTGAACACAAATGTGAGCCAGAGGGAAACCCAGCCCAGACTTAGGGGTTCAGCCATGGTTTACCAGAGGAACTGATGCCTACCCTGAGACCAGAAAAGGAAGAGTAGTAACCAGGCAAAAAGAAGGTGTTGATCAGCAAGGTGACCCCTCTATGATACCCTTTACCATAATCCTTCATAAACGGATTTTTCCTCTTGAAGCCTTGGAGTTGTTGCCGGTTATTCTTCTTTGATGGCACCATAGCCTTACTGCTGTAGCATTTGTCCATACTCTGTTGTTTCTCTCACTGAATAGTAATTATTGACCATAATTTTTTTTTACCATAATTATTTTTTTACCTGTTTATCTCTCCTGTATAAACTGTACTCTTTCACATTTTTTCAGAATTATTTATTTAATTTCATTTATTATTATTTTTTAATTTTCTAAGGGCACACCCCCTTACCAGAGAGAGACAGAGAGAGGAAGTGGGAAAGTAAGCTGTCAGGTCTGGAACTTGAACCACGGTCAGCCATGTAGGAGTTCAGCACCTTAACCACCACACCACCTGCTGGCCCTAGACGGAGCTCTTTAACAGTAGGCCCAGTCACCATAGCTCATGCTGGATGCTGCTGCTCGACAGGCTGAGACCATGTGGGAGACCTGGATTCTATTGCAGGCCCACTCTAAACAGCCAGGTGTGGCCCTGTGGTCTCAGCTATTCCAGCTGGGGCAGGAGTATCATGATACAGCAAGACTCTAAAACACTGTACACACACGCTCCCTCTCATACATACACACAAGTACACTGTAATTTCTTTTCTGTGTTTATAGCTGCTAACAATAGATATTCAACATTATTCTGTTTATCAGCTGAGCTTGTCTAGAGTCCTTGAGGGAATGAGAGGCCCCACAGCAGTATGAGAGAAGCCAGGTTTATAGTAGGCGGCCTATCCATGAAAACCTTATTGGAACAGCTCACGAATTCATCAGAGTATTCATAGTGATAATAACAAAGGTTACAGTAATAGCAGCTTCTATGACTGAATACTTACTATTAATATCCCGTTTAATTTAATCATCGTACTCACGGGAGACAGATAACATCCCTACTTTCAGGAAGTAATCTTAAAGGAGAGGGTTTATAAAAATAAATAAATAAATAAATGCATTGAGTACTTACTATGTGTCAAGCAGAGGAGCTAAGCATGACTTTGATTGGTTTATGATATGGGTGTGATACTAGTTCTGCTATTTTACTCTTTTTTTTTTTTTGAGAGTTTTTTTTGCTATAGGGGGCGTGCGCTCGCCAGACAGACAGAGAGAGACAGAGAGACAGAAAGTGAGAAATCACCCCCCAGGGGGGATGGTCACGCCACAATCCCTTCTCCTCCATTCTCCTCTCAGGATCTTGGGCACGCATGCACACACGCCCGGCGTGAGTTTTTTAAGTCACCAGGTCTGGGACGCGAACCGGGACTACGTGGGAGTTCAGTGACATAGCCATTACGCTAACTGCTGGTTCCCTGCTATTTTACTCTTGAGGTTCAGAGAAGTTAAATGACTTTACAAGGTCATGTGACTAGAAGTGGCAAAGTAGAGGTACAAACCTAGATTTCCTTTTATTTCTTTTTAAAACATTTTTTTTCAATAATTTTTTCTTATTAATTTTAATGATTATTTATACATTTAATCGCTATACATCATTTAGGTTGTAAAGAGACTTTACCCAGCATGACACACACCTCGGTCCAGCACAGTTGAGAACATATACACATCTTCATCAACAAATAATAAACCATATCCATGTCCCACAAATGCCTTACCTCTCCATTTTTTTCTCCTAATTTCCTTTCCTATGCTCTTT